CTAGTGGATGCTGCAAAAGAAAACAATATAGCAGCCTAGGAAAAACCTTCCAAGCTGGTAAGGAGGATAGAAATGTAACATTTTGAGCGCATAAGGGGGAAAAAGTCTTCCTTGCTTTCATTCCAAAAGGCAAGTAAATAAATAATGGAAATAGAAATAGTAACTTCTTGCTTATAAAAAAGTAAAATTAATTTCTTAAGGATTAGAAATGCATTCTGTATACCTAGTGCAACAAGACGATATAGAAATTGTCATTACATACACCTGTGACAGAATAAATACAAATTCTTTCCTTTTTAATAAAGATAATTGTCTGTTATTGTAGAGGGAGCCTCACTATATTTTTTAATATTTGCTATGTCTCTAAGATGAGAGGTGAAGCAGGGAGGATAGAACATCAACAAGATTGACTTCGGAACTAAAAAGTTAAAAAAAGCAATGCTCGATTTCCCTTCCTACCTCCTGTCCCTAGTCAACAGCCGCCCTGTACTTTACAGCCTGTCCTACCATAGTGGTGACAAGGATTTGTCATCGGAGAGCTCATTTCACCTTGGTGTGCTGGAATACATAACCCGGTCTGATCCACGGAGCTTTGGAAAGAGAGGAAAGACTGCAGGAATTCCTTGTTCACCTCCTTCTTGAGCACCTGGTTTCTAGAGCCAGGCTACTTAGGCCAACTCCCGGCTCCAGGATTCATGCTTAAGTGTAAGGGTGGGTCTCCTGGAGCAGCCGTGCTCATTAGGCCACACAGGATCAGGCCTAGGAATGGTTAATGCTGATCTAGGCGGGCTACTGCGTTTAAATCTAGGATGTCTAACTCATCCATACGGTCCAATAGTTTAAAAGTGAAATATCTGTCAAAATCTCATTACTTTGGAGAGGATGGGAGTTCATGGATTATAAACCATCATTTATTTGTTACATCTTAAATTATGGTGCTGTATCCAGGCTATAAATTCTTACCAAACAAACTGCTGATGTATTTTACACGAATAAATCTTGTGTGCCCGGGCCAGTTAGCAGCATGAGTGGACAGGAGCGTAGGTGGGGATGGCACTTGCTTTGAGGGCTGCTACTCTTGTTGTTTTTGCAATAGGATGCCTGAATTTACTTGGAGGAGAGAAGGTTAGTGGTATCAGTTCCTGGGAATACAGACACTCCTCAGTGGCTGAAAGAGAATATTCCTGGTTCTCCCAAAGATCACCATTTCACTCCCAAATGTCTGCTAGGAGAAGGACATGCCTGTCTGCTCCCCATGTTGTATCATGGCAAAGTGCTGATTTATTAGAGGGTGTCAAACTTCTTCACAGTGCTTGAGGCTGTGCTCTGAAGGCTTTGCTCGGTGGCGTGGGAGGCTGAAATAACTATCAACGCACAAGGCACTTTTTAAAATAGAGCAGCGCTAAACAGCCTGATCCTGCAAATCTCGGCTCCTGCAGTTTATTCCACTGAGACTGATCCTGCCAAGCTCCGTATGCCACCAAAGGGGAGATCTTTCTCACTGAGAGCAACTGCTTTTAGGAGGGGAGCATGAGCCATTTGAGTCCCTACTAGATAGTACCTGTGCCTGCAGGACTGAGTTGATATTTATTCACTTATATTATTTATATGTGGTTGGGTTTGCTAAAGCACAGGAAGGATAGCAAGTTCCAATGCTATATTGGAAAGATTTGACAAGTGAACTAAAATGAAATACAGGCATGAAACTGGCCGTAGGAGCAAAGGTAGGGGTTAGCACCTAATTTGTTTAGTTTGACAACTTCATTAAGTATATGAGTAAGAAGAGGTCATGTCTTTATTATTATTTTTTTGTTCTGGTTACACTGTTCACATGCAATTGCACTTTTCCTCTAATGCAGTTAAAATAATGTTTCCAGAGATAAGATACATGATATGAAGGTGATACAGAGAGAGGATTATAAATACATGTTCTTTTTTTGCGGTGTGGACGGTCTTCCCGTGAAGGTCACTCGGACAATACTCCAGGAAGCACTTTTGGAGCTGGGGACTTTTCACAACGGGAGGCCATCATGTGTAATCAGTACTTACATCTGGGTGCCGTTGTCAGGGTTTCAGGAAACTTCTTTTGCTCCGTGATAGACCTGTTCTCACTGGGCAACGGGAAAAGCCTATGTGACTGTTAAAACAAGAGTGGAAAAATATGTATCTGGAATATGCATTGCTTTATCCTGCCAAGCCAAGTGTTTATTGTGGAGGCCAGACACATCTGTCCTTCTCCAACAGATATCATGGTGTTTCTTGGATTAAAAAGGCCGACCGTAGTGGAACAGTGGAAGAAATTGCTTCAGAAAACTGACTTATTGAAGTCCTATATCATACAGACCCTGTCAAAAAATATTAACCACAATAAAAGCTGATGCTAGGAGAGATGAAAGCAATATTGTTTGATACTGTGATTACCTCTGCGGCATCATGCTCAAGATGGGCAGTGGGGAATTGACTCCTTTGTTTGACCTGGGCAGTCAATATGATTACTTCAGGGATTTTCTGTTTTATGTAATAAAACATCTGTAATAAAAGTTTAAAAAACAGTTTTGGGAAAGGGAAAGGAGACATGGATTACAGAGAGCTATCTGGGTCAAGGGGTTAGGTGTTTGCCAGGCTCCAGATGGGGACTGGGAGGATGACAGGGCTGGGAGTGACTTTGAAGTTGACTGTGTCTACATTGCACAGGCAATAAGAACAACATCATTTTAGGCCTGTGAGCTCCACCTGATCTGAAGTTTGTCAAGAAGGAGATTGATAGAGTCATTATTCCCTACCCGAGATATTCTGAGAACGCAGCTTATGTGCAAATGTTTATTCTGCAGGCTGTTGCAGTAAGTGTGAATAACAAAATCATTGCTCTACCTTTGCATGTTCAGCTCCTTGCAGATTTACTGGAAGATCTTGGAAAACAGCAGCTTTGGCTAAACAATTTACTTATATCAAGGATAAGGAATTCTTGCTGGAAACTTGACAGGCGCCAAATCACTTTCTTATATTCAGTGCTCTCTGCAGTTATTTCTGCCTTACACTTGCTGCAGATAGTTTTATGTGTGTGATCATGTTTTAATAGCAAAAAAATAAAAAAAAAGGAGAGGGGGAAGAAAAAGACTAATACCAATTCCCCCATGTTTAGCTTATCTCTGAGCAACTGGGAAGTGATCTTGTGCTGACCTCTCTGCGCTCACGTGCCGTGGCTTGTGCAGGCTGTGCCTAGCACACGTTTTGGAGTTTGGGCCATCAGCTCTCTGGCATTTGGAGAGTGAAAGCTTTGAAGCCAAGAAGAGTTTAGTGATTGCTTTCAACTGGACCAGGATTTGCAAGCCTGGTGCTTATTCAGGATTTCTGTAGTAATGATATGGCATGTGGCTGATGGGCAGCAAGAGTAAATTTTCTGTTTTAATGCATTAACAGTGTGATACCTAGGAGTTTAGCACAGGTTATGCATAATGGGCAAAAAGGAGATACTATAACTTTTAATGTGTCAAATTCATTAGAGAAACATCCAAATGCATATTAAAATCAGCAGATGCTTAGCATATATCAAACAAAACTCACACGTTGTGTGGATTTTGGTTCTTGGCATGATTAAAAAATAAGATTTCCCTCTTCATTTATATAATGTGTAGAGGTAGCAGTTGTAGGTTAACCTAGAAAGTTGTGTATGGGCTTAAAAATAGCCCTGTTATGAAATAGGATGTGATACAATGAAACAGTATCACAGCGTCTTGATAGTGTTTGTTCAGAAGAAGGCAAAATATGATCATTTGCTACCTTACTGTGAATATTCTGCTGCTCTCGGTCATTCCTGCCCCTCTGCAGGTCCTAGAAAAGCAAGAATCAGACCCGAGGGAGCCTGACATTGCTATGCAGATTTGACCCTCAATGACACGTTAAGGAGCCTGCAGGGTATTT